AGCAGGATGGTCTTTAGCTTCCAAGTGTTTGAATTTCTTCCAAATTTTTTCTTTCAAAGCATGTGGTCTGAGAATATACAGAGAACCAGTTTCAAAGCACTGTGGTCTGAGAATATACAGAGAATAATCTCAATCTTTTGGTATCGGTTGAGACCTGATTTGTGACCCAGTATGTGGTCTATTCTGGAGAAAGTTCCATGTGCGTTCAAGAAGAATGAGTATTCTGTTGTTTTAGGGTGTAGAGGTCCATCTGGTCCAGTGTGTCATTCAAAGCTCTTGTTTATTTTTCTGCTTAGATGATCTGTCTATTGCTGAGAGTGGAGTGTTGAGGTCTCCTACTATTAACGTATTATTATCAATATGTCTCTTTATTTTGGTTAACAACTGGCTTATGTAGTTGGCTGCTCCCATGTTGGGGGCATAGATATTTACAGTTATTAGATCCTCTTATTGGATAGACCCTTTATGAATAATATAGTGTCCTTCTGTGTCTCTAACTACAGTCTTTAGCTTAAAATCTAATTTGTCTGATATGAGAATTGCTACCCCCCTTTCTTTTGAGGTCCGTTGGCATGAAAAATGGTTCTCCACCCCTTCACTTTCAATCTGGATGTATCTTTAGGTTCAAAATTAGTCCCTTGTAGACAGCACAGGGATGGGTCACATCTTTTTATCCAAAATGAGTCCCTTGTAGCCAGCATAGGGATGGGTCATGTCTTTTTATCCAATCTGCACCCTGTGCCGGTTCATGGGAGCATTTAGGCCATTCACGTTGACAGTGATTATGTAAAGATATGAATTTATTGTCATCATGTTGCCTGTGAAGACATTGTTTTTATAGATTGTCCCTGTAAATTTCTGTTCTATATCACTCTTGGGGTCTTTCTCCTTTTATAGAACCCCCCCATAATATTTCTTGCAGGGCCGGCTTGGTGGTTATATATTCTTTCAGTTTCTGCTAGTCTTGGAAGTTCCTTGTCTCTCCATCCATTCTGATGATAGCCTTGCTGGATAAAGTATCCTTGGCTGCATGTTCTTCTCATTTAGTACCCAAAATATGTCTTGCCATCCCTTTCTGGCTTGCCAGGTCTCTGTGGACAGGTCTGACGTTATTCTGATGTTCCTCCCTCCGTATGTAAGAAATCTCTTCCCCCTTGCTGCTTTCAAGATTGTTTCTTTGGATCTAAGATTTGCGAATTGTACTATTATGTGTCATGGTGTCGGTCTGTTCTCATTGATCTTGGGAGGGGTCCTCTCTGCCTCTTGGACACGAAAGCTTGTTTCCTTCCCCAGATTAGGGAAGTTCTCAGCTACGATTTACTCAAATATAACTTCTAGACCTCTCTCTCCCTCCACCCCCTCAGGAATCCCAATAATTCTGATATTGGAACATTTCATTGAGTCACTAATCTCTCTCAGTTTGATCCCTTGGGTTTTAATTTGTTCTTCCCATGCTGCCTCAGTTTCCTTCTTTTCTATCATCTTTTCCTCTAGCTCATTAATTCGTTCTTATGCCTCATTTACCCTGGCAGTCAAAGTATCCAGTTTAGACTGCATTTCATTCATAGCATTTTTAAGTTTGGCCTGATTAGAGCTCATTTCTGCCCTCAGATATTCTATATTGTTGTTAATATTTTTCTCAAGCCTAGATATCACCTTCATAATTGTTACTCTGAAGTTTATTTCTAACATCTTGGTTATATCCATATCCATTAGTTCTGTGGCAGGAGCCACAGTCTCTTGAGTCTTTCCTTTGTTGGGGGTTCCTCCTCTTAGTCATTCTGTTGAGGGGTGGTTGAGGGAATGTAGAATCCAAAGTATTGACCACAACCCAAGCAAGATGCACCTGTTTTATAGGGACCTTAGGGTTGTCGGCCTCTTGTTCTTCCAGCCTGTCTTCTGGGGGAGGGGCCTGCCATGCTGTTACTCAGGCAACCCTGTTTGGGCAGGGTTTGCCTGCCCCCTGCCCCCTGGGGGGGCGGTGCTCAGTGAAAACTGTTTTGGGGGGCTTCTGTTCTCTGGCAGCTTTCTACATCTCTTCCAAGAGTCAGAGCAGAAGTGACTGCATCCAAACCTCTGTGTCAGAACACAGAGATCGCAGTCTGTTTTTCAGTGAGCTCTCCAGGCCACACTATCTCCATTTCTGTCTGTGCTGCTATAAACCGCAGCCTCATGGGTTGTGCGCCCCTCAGCAGCGCCCCTCAGCAGCGCTCCCAGCTGCCGCTCCCAGGGCTGGGCACGTCTCTGCCCTTCATGCTTCTAAAACCGCCAGCCACCCCCAGTTCACACGCACAAACCCGCAGCTCCAGGTTTCAGTCTGGGGAGCTGCCCTAAAGTCCTTTCCCTGCCACTACCGGCCCATCTGTGAGTCTGTGCCCAGTCCCCAGAGCAGGAGACTTTTGCCTTCGTGGCGTAAGTTCACAGGGGCTCCCTGCCCCTTCCGTTTATCTTCTGATATCTGCCCGCAGAATCACTGCTCCCTGCTTCATACCTCGAGACCAACCGCCAGAGATATTCTGTTTGTAGAGATCCAGATATATCTTCTTACATCTCAGGCTGATTTCGTGGGTGTTCAGAATGGTCTGGTAGATATCCAGCTCAATTCAGGGGACCAGTTGAAACAGGGTCCCCTACTCCTCCGCCATCTTTTTTCCTCCTCTATCTCTTCCATGTATGTGTACATACAGATCCCAAAGAACCCCTTCTCACTATGCTTAATTATGTATACATCTGTATTGCTAGTGGAACCTATTTCTGCATAAAGACAGAGTGAGGGAAAGTGGGAGAAAGGGCCAAGAGGCCAAGAGAAATCCCAGGCCCTTTTTCCCCTGGGGTAATGGCAATAAGGGAGCTACTGAAAATCTAACACAGATGGGGTTCTAAGCTCTGCTTTATCTTGAAATTGTCTGGTGGGTTGGCTACCTACTGTGCCAAGGTTGCACACCAAACTAATTAGAGCACCTAGAGTTAAATGAGACAACACTTCTAGAATACTTGGAGTCATTCAATATTTACCAACTATATTTACATTTTCTCTATGTATTCTTGTATTTCCTGGCTTGAAGATAAATATGGCAATATATAATACTCATTGTCAAATAAGTTCAAAGTACTTTGCTTAACTAACATTTTTTATTTTTATAGTGCCTTAAAAAGAAAGTGGACATGTACTTAAAAAATATACATTACTAAGAATAACAAAATTGAAGACCTGCCTAAGATTATAAAAATTTAAAAACAAATCCAATAATTATACTTATTTTATAAATTATAAGACAACATTCTTAAAGTGAAAGCAATTGAAAAGAATCTTTGCATACAACATAAATTATAGAAGGTCACATACGTAGTATAGGCATGGAGAGAGGAGGAATTCTAGAGCTGTGCCATCCCATACGGTAGCCACTAGTCAGTCACGTGTAGCTATTTAAGATCTAATTTATTAAAATTAAATTTCAAGTGTGGCTACTATATTGGACAAAGCAAACAGAGAACATTTCCATCACTGCAAACAGTTCTGGACAGTGTTGTTCTAAAGAAGTGGTATCTAGTGGGTTCTAGACTTGGGGAGACAGCCTATGTGGTAGGAATCTGTTACCAATCATCAAGATTTTCTCATCGGAACTATTTATAAAGTCATAATAGACATATATCCTAACAGTAACCCTTAGGCCTGGGAGTGTCTTACAAATCATACAGAAATACTCCTCTTTTGTTTTTTTTTTTTAATTGGGTCTGCCATATTCCCATTTGATTACGAGACTATACTGAATCAGCATCACTCCTCACTTGGCATGAGATGTTACCACAGTGCTACTGTGCTGCTCTCCTACAGTTTTCAGTGAGAACAGAGTCTATATTTGGTTTGTATAGAGACAGATCCTCCTGCACAGTCAAAACAATACCTAACCCTAATCTTTTTCAACGTAGACTAAAACTACATTGCATGTTTAAATTTTCATTTCCCACCAGAGATTACAATCAACTATATCTTCTATGGCTTTTTTGTGACAGACTTTATTTGCAAAAGATTTTTTGATAGTAAATATCTGAAACTTGAAAGTCCTCACAATTAAGAAAGATAGATTTCTAAGTGTTTCAAAGACTTATTTTTTAAAAGAATTTTGTGGATTCAGAGACTAAGTTAAGCCTTACAGTTATTTTACATATTCAGACAAGTTTTTCATTTCACATTTTAAATCTGATCTAAGCTTATATATAATCATTTAATAACTTACTTCAAAATTAAGGTCTCGGATCAAGATATCTCCATTTGGCGTTGCTAAAGGAACATGATCAAATCTACAGAGGAAATTGATAAAAAATTACAATTTTATATTAAACACTAAGCAAACATAGCTGAAAGAGAACGCTACTATACAGTTTAACAAATGTTTGTGGTGCTAAAGAACTTTTCCTATACATACTTTATAATGTTATCAGCATTGATGATTTCTCCAGCACCAGGTATCAAGGGAATAACTTGTGCTCCTTCTTCAATACCTTAAGTGGAAAATAAGTATCAGAGCATCACATTACATCAGCCAAAACTTAAACTATGTGACCTAGTGCATTCATATTTACCCCTTTCCTGTTGCGAGACCATTGTGCGCTCATATTTGCCTTGATTTAAATCCTTCAGTACTTGCATTAATTCTGTAATCCGAGCAGTAAAACTAAAATTTAAAAAAAAAGTCATAATGAAAACTCCAAAGGCCATCATATCTTTTACTATTATTTTTGTTATTTATTTGAGATGTAACTGACACATAGCACCCTGTGTAAGTTTAAAACTTTTATTCAAACTTAACTGAAATTTCTAAAATTACAATTTAACTGAAATAATCTAAAGAAGTCTCATCATCATAAAGTATGAGTGATAGTGTATGCATGCTTTATTATCATGTTTCAGTAGGAGAACAGGAACGTGAGGATAAAGGAAGAGGTTTCATAGGATCTCCACCTCAACAGATAATTACTTCATTAACAGGTGAGTCAAGAAGGTTGTTTGCCACTAGAATTTTAAGGTTTCTAGTAGATACTATACAAGGACTAGTATTAGTACATTCCTCAGACATAGGAAGTATGGACCAAGTTCCTCCTCGAGTGAGAGACAGCCAAGTATAAAGTTAGCCCTCATGTGTGAGGAAGGCATTTATTACATATATGCCAAACGTCTGCTACCTCCCTGCAAACATGGAGGATTCTTCTCTTTCCTACTCCAAAATGGGAGAAAAGATGACGTGTTCTTACTATTAGAAAGAAATCACTGTGGCAATAGAGAGAAATCAAAACTAATGCCAAGACATCAAGGAAATAAAAATAACATGATGGTCAAAGAGAAAGCAATCTACATCAAAGAAACAAAAGAGAACTTTTCTGTGAAAATCAAGCAGAAACCTCCTGAAGGAACAGAAGCACCCCATCTACCACGAACCATAAAGGCCTAAGAAAAGTTATTAACAAGTAGGAAGAATGTTCGCATTCTCAAGAGAAAGAGACTCCTCATAGTAGTTGACAATCTCCTCCAACTTGCCATGAAGACCTAAACTGCCATAGAAGAGGAGGAATAAAGAAGAAATATGCGGATGAGTCACAGGTCTGGGAAGGATCAGAAGTGATCCAATTTCTTCAGATGTACTTTTTACATTATGGTGTTTTTTTATGCCATATCAAGCCCTTTGTACTAGAGCTTAAAATACTGAAATACTTAATTCCACGTTACAGTCTAAGAACAATTTTACTAGACAGAATGACCATATTTGCAATTGCATCTACAGATACCACAAGGTGACTTTTCACTTCTTTCCCCATTAAAATCAACTTCATCTTTATCTTACAGTGGAGGACAAAAAAGTTCAAATACAAAAATTCTATTCATTAACCTAATTTTCCATGAATTAAGAAAAGACTGCCCTAACTTAACATTTTCTAACTTACCGAATACTAGTGTCCATGGAGCGGACAGCTTGAGAACCACTAACCTGGCTGAAGACTCAAACAGCTCTCTTAAGGAAACATGAAAAGCTCCCTCTCAGAGAAAAACCTTCCTTAATTTTCCTATCAAAATCAGCTTGCAGGAATAGGAAATGGGGCTTCAGTTGCCCCTTACCTTAACCTCAACTGGGCACAATCATTAAGTATAACATATTTTTAAAACTTATTTTCTGCAATTGCTCAGTATTACTAATCTTACTTACCCAGCCAATCTAGTCATTTCACGGCCAGCCAAAACTATCCGACCCAGAGCTTGAGACATTCGCAAAAGCATTCTTCCACTTTGATAGTAATCCTTAAAGAGAAATAAATACTAGTTTTCACCTACATTTCTAAGACTAAAAACTAGCTTTTATTTGTTTTTATATTTAAATTTCAATTTATTATGACTCTGATTACTAATACTTTACCTCTAGAAGTTCTGAATGTGTACTCTTGAGATGTCGAGGATGAGACAAATCTAGGAAAGGACGACTTACAACTAGGTAACCAACAACAGTGGCAAGATCTGAAACAAAACGTTAAGATTTAAACATTAATAATACTTCGCTTTCTCCACAAATTTCATTCCCCTATCTCTTTTAAAGCATACTTACATTTGGCAACTATGCTATCAATGAAGCCCATAGAAAACCGAAACAAAATGAAATTATGGAGATGCTCCACCTGGCAGAAAGCAAATACAAAAAAATTTATATTTTATGTGTATGTAAAAATATGAATCTACCCTGAAAATAAAAAACTGCATGATTTATTTATTCCAAATACTTACTGAAAATTAAAAAATTATATAATTTATTGATTCCACAAATATTGCCTATGGTTTCTGATTATACTGTACATTACATTTCATGCACAATACTTATCACAGAGCAGATGCCAAATACTTTATGAAACCATTTTTATGCAAACAGAATGGAAATTACATATAAATGTTAATTTGGTATCATTTGTATATAATATTGTATTCACAATACCATCAGATACATAAATACTAAAACTGATCAATAATCAAAACAACAACAATAAAACAGAAGGATGAGCTAATTTAGGTAAAACACTAGCTGTCTAGATTGGCACTCAGTGCTTTGCTTTAGTTGGAGACATCTGGTCTCTGCTTTCCCCAAGAATCTTACTACACTCGATCTGAACTAAGTGCTAATGTGTCATCAATGCTGTTCAGCCCTAGTTTGCAGCTTTAATCAAGCACGCACTACCTCAAAATTACAAGTCTAAAAATGTTTTATATTCTGCCTTTTCAATGTTCTCAACTTTTCCATCTATCAGATTATTCAAGGCCCTGCATGATCTGGCACTGGGCTCTATCCTAAACTTCATCTGCTTCTATGTTATTCCTTCTCACTGAGCTCCAGAAATATTGGTTTCTCAAACTGCCTTAAGGCTTTCCTCTTGTTGTTCCCTCTGCCAGGAATATTGCTGCTGTCCTAGACAGTTCTGTTTTGTGACTAACTCCCTCATTCCATGTGGGTTTCCGATAAAACGTCACCTCCTCAATAAAGAACTTCTTGCCATCCTACCTAAAATAGCTATGCAACCTCCCCATCACACTGTACCATTTCATCCCATTTTATTTTTGGTCATAGAATTCATTACTACCCAGAATCATATAAAATAGTCAGTTGTTGTTTTTTTTGTCTCCTCCACTAAAATGTGAGTTTCCTGAGTACAGGGTGGCTTCCTCTTACTATCTTTTGCAAAAGCACAATGACTGCAACATTTATTCAATGAATGCCATGTGTTACATGCTGTGCTCAATGCTGGAGACACAACAATGAATAAAACAGACAAGGTCCCTGAGCTCATGAAATTTACATTTTAATGAAAGAGACAAACTAGGAAACAAATAAGATAAATATAAATTGCAATACATTTTTTAAGGAAACAGATCATTAAACTGGGAAGTAACTGGTGGAGGCCATTTCAAACAGACTAACCAGAGAAAGCAAGGCCACAATAAGTTGTTAACTTTGGAGCTAAAGTCTAACGGATAAGAATAAGCAAGCCATGTTCATCAGCAAGCTTGATGAACAGCAGTTCCCTGGAAAAACCTTAAATGCATTTTATCAGTGAGCACAATCAAAGTTCAGTCATGTTAAATCTAAATAAGACAAAAATCCAATTTCTAAAATTATTTTTTTTTTAAGATTTACTTATTTATTTTAGGGAGGAAGAGGGAGAGACAGAGAGAACATGAGCATATGTGATTGGGGGGGAGGAGCAGAGGGAGAAAATCTTCAAGCAGACTCCCTCTTGAACACAGAGCCCAGATGTGCTGCTCAATCCCACAACTCATGAGATCATGACCTGAGCCAAAACCAAGAGTTAGACGCTCAACTGAGCCACCCAGGCACCCCTGAAATCATTTAAAATGACTATTTCTTTAAGCTTTTTAAATCACCTCAATATATATTTAATTTTAAATTTAATTTCATAAGCTTCCACTAAAATGTAAGCTCCTTAGAGGCAGGATTTTGTACGCCACGTCCACCACTATTATTACTAGCACCTGGAACAAGCACAGGCATCTAGATGGCACTCAATATCTTTTAAATGAAGTAATAAAATTACTTGAATTCAAATTTTCCAATTGGCAAGAAAATAAAAACTGATATATGTATAGTTTTTACAAGAAACAATTTTTGTTGTTTTTTTTTTTTATTAACATATAAGCTATTATTTGTTTCAGGGGTACAGGTCTGTGATTCATCAGGCAAGAAACAATGTTTTTAACTCTAAATCAAGGGTCAACAAACTATGGCCCACAGTCCAAATCCCAGGCTGCCATTTATTTTTATAAAAAAGTATTATTGGAACATAGCTACACCCACTTATTTACATAGAGTATATGGCTACTTTTGTCAATACAGACCATAAGGTCTGAAAAAGCCTGAACTACATATGTACTTATCTTGTCTTTTATAAAAATAGTTTGCTGACCCCTACTTTAAATAACCATCATAGTATCTTCAAGAATCCTACAGAAACAAAAGAATTTATCACTAAATAAAACATCTAAGCAATCTCTAAAAATACACTGACAATTATTTTAATAAATCAACCTATATTTGTAACTGGGAAGCTTAATATATTGACAGGATAGTTTTTATTCTTTTATTTTTTATGAAAATACAGTATAAAAATACTTCATACTTAAAAATAAATATCTTAAAGATTAAAGACATATACCTATATAGATAGATATAGATATAGATCAGCATAGGCCAAAAAATCAAATCTTTCCATAAATACATGAGCCTCAAGCATGCTATCTTACCAGTTTTCGGAAGACCGAGTGGATTGTCTGCTTTTCTCTCTTATTCCCGTTGTAAAAGGCAATTTCTTCACTATTAAAGAAAATAATTTAGTAAGTAATTTTAATATTATCAGTGCCTGAAAAATAATTGAAATACAGTTATTTTATGACTGAATATTTTATTTAAATGGACACTTAAGACTATAAGCTTAATGGGTGCGTGTGGCCACAGTCCTGTACTTGAGACCCTGCTCCTAGCTCAGCTGATCAGAGGGCACAGAAATACACACCTAACAGGATCACAGACTGCACAGCAGCCACATGTTGCATATGCCATATATAGAGCCTGGCTGGAAAAGATGTGCTGGGCTAGTTCTCAGAAATTTAATTAACTGAATTTCTTTAATAAGAAATAAGAAGGAAGTTGCTATGACATTAGGAAGGCAGGGCTGGGGCAGCCATTATAGATGACAAATGGGAGTACAGACCCCCAGGAGGGAGAGGAGAACACAACAGCTAAGAGAAGCTATGGAGTGATGCCATGCCATACAGCCTTTGAAAGACTGAAAAGCAAACCAAGCCTGAACGAGTTCACAGTGCCAGCTTCCAGGAGCCCCGGCTGCACAGTCGTTCTTATGCTGGGAATCCCACCATATCCTCACAACTCCCCTTTTCTTGAGCTGGCCTGAATGGGTCCATAAGGGCCACAAGAATCTTGACTAGAAGAAAGGGGGCATTCTTACAGATGAAGAAAGGTTCAGTGTATTAAGACAAGTCTGTCAAAGTCATACAGCTAGCTAGTCAAGCAGCTGAGATTGTAACTCACATCTGATTCTAGAGTCTAGTCTTTCCACTCCCTATTCAATACGATGTAAAATTCCCAGAAAAGTAACTCTTAACAGCAAAGTAAAGATTTACATAGGAGTCTAGAGGGTACAGTTAAAAAGCCTTCGATAAACACCCAGTATTTCTTTAAAGCCTCTTTTTTCCCCTTAAATATATATGTGAATTTTATATTCTACTCCAAAATGTACCTGCATTTTTTTCCATTATAAAAACAAGGTAGCTCTTGCCTCAACCCCTTCAAACAAAATTAACTTTGTATAAAGATGAATCATGTTCAACCTGTGTTTCACCATTTCCTTGACACAACAACACAGAGCCCCAAAGTATCACAATTCCAGTTTAAGAAACAATTCTATACCTATAATTACTTTTCTCACTTCCTTCTACCTCCTCTGCATGTTTAAGCCTATGGAGGAAGATGAGATGAGCATTCTAATTCTGACTCATTTTAGCCCCAATCTAAAACCTGAAAGGGCAAAAACAACCCAGAATACTCTAGCTGCCTATTCATCACTGATTCTCTTCCACATCCTCCTTCCTATGTGAGAGAACTCCAATTTTCTTAGTTACCCATCTATCCCTTCCTATGCCCCCAAATGGTTTAGGAATGGCCTCAACCCCATCTACGAGGAATGAGTTCCATTTGGTCTAAGCCAATCACTTGCCTGTGATTGCTTAAGGCATGGGCAAGTGATCATTCCAGCCAATGAAAGGTGAAACAAAGTCGGGGTGGGGCTTCTGGGAAAGTTGCCCGCTCTCTTGAAGAGATGGCCTGTTTTTATTTCTGGGCTTTTTACAGGGGAGGAAGACTAGTGAGATCTGAAATTGCTTTTGCCATCTTGTGATCATAAGAAAAATTAGGCTGAGGAAAGGGGCAACATACAAAGGAAGGCTGAGCCAAGAGAACATCAAAGAGCCAGAGCCCTGATCATGTTGTGCCTGGAATGGGGCTATCTTAAGAGTTCTTATGTCAAGTAGTAAATGTCTTTATTGTTAAGCTACCTGAGTCAGGGTTTCCTGTTTCTTGCAAAAGAAAGCATTCTAGCTGATACCATCTTTCATTCACTTGGCAAATCACCTCTCTACTCAACCAACTGTCTACTCCTCCACCTCCCTACAGCACAAAACCCTATTTAAAACTGGTACCATTTTAGCAATATAAGGAAATAAAGGAAGAAGGAACTGTTAAAAGAGTAATCCTCTAGAGGTACAGATCTGAGATTCAACAGTCTTGCACAAATAATGCAATATATGTTAAGAAAAAAAAAAAGAAGAAGAAGAAGGTAGCAGGAGGGGAAGAATGAAGCGGAGGAAATCGGAGGGGTAGACGAACCATGAGAGATGATGGACTCTGAAAAACAAACAGGTTCTAGAGGGGAGG